TTGCCATGGATGCTTGAAAAATATTTGTTGAAAAATCACAATCAAAAAGTACCATTTTGCTACTTGACCTATCTGTCTTCCTGGTTTGGTGGAGATATATATTGTACAGGTTTTGAGACCTGGTTGGAAACGAGCAATACTGTAATTTTCAGTCTATGTCAAAGGTTTTACCATGGAAACTTATAATATATTTATCAAAATCCCCAAAACACCATTTTGCATGAACCCCCTAGAACCACTCCACAACTATCTATATTATAACTATATCTATAACTATATTTTTTGTTAGGTTTTTGTAAGCTAAAAATGGCAATACTTTTAATGCAGTGTATTCAAAATTATTCCCATGCCATTCAGAATCTACCGACATCTGGCCTACAGGAGATTCACCTACTGGATTTGGCAAAAATTAGGACAGAATCAATCGAAAAGTTATTCTTCTTATGTTGTACATAAAATTCATGAAACATTTCCATCGGATGTATATACTGGTATTCTCACTAAAATAAATACTGTTGTGTTGATGCTGTGATATATCTGGAATACTGTTAAAAGCGGAGTTAAACCCAATTCACTCACTCACTGTTTTATTGAAATCTGGTTTTATGATTTCTGACAACAATCTGTTTTTGTTGTTTCTTTCCATGAGTGTCAGTTATGCAGGGTGGCTGGTGCTCACTGAGGGAGTTGTTCGCAAAGTTACAACTTGTAAACTCTTGACACTTCCTGTAGCAGTTCACCAACATATTCTGAAAAAATAACACCAAAATCACATAACAGCTTTTCATTGTATTGAAAAAGATTTTACACAATATGCTAACATCTATTTCAGGTCCATAAAAACAGGTATCAGCCTCCCGAAAAGTCTATAATATGTTTTTGGAAAAGTTGATGGATCTCATGTGGAGCCACATATCACCAATAACATCCATACCGTATGTTGGATATGTCTTGAGGGGTTCAACAGCAGCTTCCCAGTTTCTGCTTTTAGGATAGGAGACACTCCATTTCTCTTGTCCAGTCTTGGTGTGTGCATTATGCCGATTACCATTCTCATTGAAGTGGAGTGCAGACATCAGCAACCTGTTACAGTATTCTTATTGTCACAGATTGTAATTACATTGATTGATCGTTTTATATATATAACTTTCTGATATCAAGACTGAGAAAGCTACATGCTACAATTGTCTGGAGTCTACTGCCAGTCACAGCCTACTCATTGCAATTACTGCAATGCCATACTTTATCACTGACAGTCAACTGTGTAGGATTCTGCAATCATTAAGTCCTCTATAAATTTGGGTCAACCTGGCTAGGAGTTTGCTGAAGATAAGTGTCCCATGATCTAGTTTTATTTTTGTGTCTCTTACAGCATCACAGTACATACCTTGCCTTCATTCCATGGTAATGATAGTGGTAAAATTTGGGAGCGATTGGCATATCACGCTATGAAATCCTTCAAGATGTGATGTCTGCCCATGGGGTGACGGTTTAGCTACGTCTTTAAGAAGATATTTGGACTTGAGATTACTTTCTCCCTGTGAGCTCGTGTGCCTGGAGAATATAATATATATACTTATATATAGTATTATATTTTTTCTACTAAATAAGTTATGAATTTGATAATTATTTGGGGACTGGTAATCTGGTAATTATTTTTATTGGGGGAAGGAGGGGGTCATGAAAAAATGTCCACAAACAATGGGCATAGTAATTGATCTTTAGTGGTGAGTATCTTTACACAGCCCTTGTCGCTAAACATGTTACACTTGTCAGTAAATCAAGAAAGTTAAAATATGACTTTTAGCAAATACAAAAAGGTATTAGGGGCCGAGCATGTGATATTCCAGGTCCGACTGGTTGTTCAGTGACACTGACACTTTTTTTATGAAGACTATGAGACAAAATATTTTTTTCTGAGAAACACTTATTTTTGTGGCAGATAATTTCTTTTGTATCAAACATTATGAAACTTATTGGTTTATTTTACATACCAGCAGCAATTCTATCTTGAATTTCCCCATGCAAACATGAAGGGAAGCTTGGACCATGAGCACTGTGGATGTTAGCTATGTGGTTAGCTAGCACCTCCTCGGCATTGCCCTTGCTGGTCGCAGCACACCACTTTAGGTGATTGGAAATAGAATGTGCCCACAAGCTGATTATTTCCAGGCCTTTCTTTTTGCTGATTATTTAAAGTTTCTTGTAAATGCCTGAAAACATTAAAAGCTACCAGTACAACGGTTAGTGATGTCATATAATGATAATATTGAACAGAAATGACCTGGAAGTGTGTTTATTAAGTTTTAGGTGATAAAATACATTAGTTACAATCTAATCATGCTGATATTGATGATTTGTATAACATATGTATTCACATTTAGCTACATGCCATACATCAAACCAGTGGTGAATGCCAGCTTCCTCCTTCCTTAAGTAGGCTTTAACTTGAGTGTGCCTGTCTGTAATGATGTCTGAAACATCCACCCTGGCTGCCTGAAGAAGCGCAAGGCCCCTTTTTAATTCCTCAAGATCCATGGCATTATAATTGGCCACCTCATTTGACTGAAAATATACTGAACAACAAAAGTTCCTGTGACATTGAATAAGATTTAATGCAAAGTTATGTTTTTTACCAAATCTGAAACAATTTCAGTTTGCAACACATAAATGACTCCTGTAAGTGTTCAAATGGTTTAATTTGCCATACTGACTTTAGAAAATGCATGATTTCATAAAAAAACATGAACATGCCAAAATGTCAATTTACAAGTCAATAGCGTATGTGTCCACCTCTGGTTGCGATGCAAGCAACACATCTTCATCTCATGAAATGGACCAGGCGTCGCACAAAGTCCTGTGGGATATCTGTCCATATCTACTGGAGCATGTTTCTAAGTTCCTGGAGTGTCTGTGGAACACTTGGTTGATGTCGAAGGCGCCGATCCATCTCATCCCACATCCCTGAGAAATCAGGGGAGCGAGCCGGCCAGGGAATGACATTCATGTTGTTTTGTTGAAGAGAATCCTGAACAAGTCGAGCAATATGAGGCCGGGCGTTGTCATGTTGAAAGGTTATGCCTGGGCCATGACGACGCAAAAACGGTAGAACAGGGCCGATGATCTCGTCGCGGTAGCGCTGTCCATTGAGATTTTCCTCTACCACTATCAAACAGGTCCTCTGTGTTGCTGTAATCCCACCCCATACCATAACGCTGCCACCCCAAAACCGATCTTCTTCCATGACACAATGATTGACGTAACGTTCACCTCAAAGTCGGTACACTCAAATCCGTCCATCGCTGTGGCTGAGGTGAAAGAGAGACTCTTCAGTGAATAGAACTTATCCCCACTGCATTGCTGTCCAGCATAGACGCTGTCTGCACCACTGTAGACGTGCGTGATGGTCGTTTCCTGTCAAAATGGGACGTCTGGCGGGTCTTCTGGCGACAATTCCTACACATCTGAGGCGACAACGTACGGATTGTGAAGATATTTGTCGAAGGCCAGGGATGCTTCTTGCAGTCACTGTTGCTGGCTGGAATCGATTTCGTAGGTGTGTTGTTTGAATCCAGTTGTCTTGTCGATTATTGGTTACACGTGGCCTGCCACTCCGGGGATGGTCTCTGACTGTATTCGTCTGTTGCCAACGTTGCCATAAAAAACAAAAGGTGTTTCTGTGGACGTTAAATTGTCTTGCAACATCAGGTTGACTCGATCCTGCTTCAAGCATACCAATGGCTCGCAGACGCTCATTTTCGGATTTTGTTGTTTTTCTGAGTGGTTGTTGTTAAACAACGCATACGGAATCCCGTTAACGTACATGTTTTTATACCCATTCTTGGGTAGTGAAATGCATGGGGCTTGCATAAAAGTCAACCTTTGAATGGAATGCATGCTTTTCTGTAGCAGTCGTGTTTTTGTGACTTGATTCAATACATGTACTACAATATTGAAAACCAAACTTTTCTTGTTTGAAAAATGCACTAAAATATTGGTGTCACAGGAACTTTTGTTGTTGAGTATAGAACAATAGAAATTCAGTTGTTCACACCTGTATAGAGATGATCAACATCAACACTGTCAGTACTTGATGTCTGAAAGTATCACTGGACACAACTCAACATGGTCATGTCACATCATGTGCAGTTGGTGTATTTAACTGTATGTATTTCTTTTACTGCATCATGAATCCTTGTTATGACAAGAATATGTGTTCTTACCTGTACCAACTGGATGTCCAAAACATGGTTTCAAGGTGTAGCTTCCATACTTGGCTGTAACAATGTTAAAAAACACAGAGACTACATAAAGCTGACATAACATTCAGTGCAATTTATGTCTTCTTCTAATACTTGGTTACATTACACATATCAAAGGCAATGAACAATTCTAAGTTTTAAGTCAGCCCTGGCATTTATCATTTCTGTCAGGTACGGGTATGCTTACACACAATCAGCCAAGTCACACATCGGAATACTAAAGACTAAACAAGCTACATCGCACATGTACACAGTCGACAATTTAGCCAAAAGTCAGAAGCCCAAATCTAGTAAACTTCTGTTCAGTCCAAAAACCTCAGCTGATAATAGTCCTTATAATAACACTAAATTTTCCTGAAAGTAATGCTGAGAGCCATACTCGGGCTTGTAGTCTCAAGAGTTTTTGGCACATATATACAAAAAAAAAATTGGACGAAATTTCACTCTGAAATACATGTACTATTTCAGCTTACCCAAGCAATTGGTTAGCAAAATATCCATAAACAATTTACCTAAAAAAAATGTGGATTTACCTGTGTGTCCAGGTGAGCAAAACCTTGCATCCCCTGCCAGGCGTATGGATTTCTCCTTTCTTTAAAGCAGATGTTGTTTTTGATGTTTCACCCACACTCTTGAAATTGCTGGAACAATATAGCCTCTCTGGATCTTATGAAAAGTTGATCTGTTTATGCTGTACATGTTCAGTATTGAATAGCTCCTCAGGGCCTTTACTGGGGAAAGGCTGCTAAAGAAAATAGCACAAGCTATGGCCAAATTGCCTAGTGGCAGTTGTTTGTGCACTGGCTGACTACTCCAGAAATACAGATGCTCTTTGTGTCTAAGGCACTATATCTGCACAGTCACAAGACTACCACAGACTTTATAAATAGTGGCTCTGCATGAACAAAAGCATAACTTGCAAAACAAGAACAATGACAACAAATTGGATTTGAACACCAGGAACTTTGTTTCTTCAAGATGATGATTGAGGGACCTGAAATTTAAAATAACAACTGTCAAATTACAAATATATTCAAATTGTTGATTGACTGTGAAGTGATTGTACATGTTAGATTGTGTGTTCAAATGTTTTTTTAATATTTCATGCTATGGTAGATTTGATATGAATTGGATAACGGTACATACAATACATACTCTTGCTGGGACTGAAATTCCTCAAACCTGACTTGGCTTGAAAGAGGGTGGTAGTCTTCATCACTGTCACTGTCATCATCACTTGTGTAAGGTGTATCATGCTTGCTGTCAGCCTCACTTGGTGTCTGGTTACAAATGTCACCAGTTTACAATGAACTGATAGTATTAGGGCCATAATTAGATGAAGAAAATGTCAGTTACATCCAGAGATATACCATTTACACTACATTAGCTCAAGAGCCAATCCTGTTACAGTATCACATGAATATAACAGATGTACAACATATTTCAATTATGAAAAAAAATCTTTTTACATAAATTTTTGCTTGATTATTTTGAAATATGAATTTATTACCTCATACTGTGTATCATGGTCACATGTTTGCGGTGTACACTGGACAGCGACCGTGCACCAGGATGTATTCAGGCTCTTCTGAGCACCTGCTGACCTGACTGAGGGTATCAGAGTCTGGCATGACTTGCTTCCACACTACACATTTGATAGAAATAGTACAAACATTCACAAGTTTGTCATCAATGTCATTCACAAAAATTCAACATCATATTATCAATTAACTATAGATCTATATGTAAGTCATTTGTGTATTTTAACTGCATCAAAGACAGAATACTACAGATATGTATGCTTGTCTTTCCAGAAATATGAGAACTATGGCAAAAGTGAGCGTGGCTCACTAATACCCCCGACCCGCCTAGTGTGTCAGTAGTTTCAAATTAAATAATGGATAGGGTTAGTGTTTGAAAAATTCATAAAAAAATGGAAAATTAATAAAAACATTTTTTTCTTTTGACTGCACCCCTCCAAATGACACAGATTATATGTACTAAGTTTGAGATGAATCCACTGAATAGTTTAAGAGTAATCGTGCGGACAAAGTTTTCGGACGGACAGCCGGACGGACGAAACCTTGGTATAAAAGTTGGGGGGTATAATTTTCAGTTAATGCTAAATCAGTCTAATCATGCTAAATGCTAAATGACATGCGTGTAGTTTGTTTTGTTGTCGCTAAATAGCGTAATGAGATGGTTTGTGTCAGTTCCGGCATCTGCTGACCTATTAGAGGGACTATGTGTAAGTTAGGTCTCTCAGACGGTCCCTCTCAACACTGACTGCCCTCGGGTATCAAGGGGTAGTGATATTCATATTCACTGTTATCGCTCGTGAACGTGAACGACTGTAAATTAAAAAACCAAACAAACAATCGATGAAGTTCGTTACGTGAAAATTACTTACCACACATATGTCAACCATCAAAATCACAAAACCGAGCAGCATACTGTGGTACTGCGATCAGCTGATCGCCGAATGTCGATGTCTGAGTGTAAGTGAAGGAGGAAGTGAACGAGACGCACGTCTGACATCTCTAATGTATCTAGTGAAACTATGAACAAATACTAGCTTATTCCTGTGTTAAACAGCTACCTTATATGCTACCGTGTTTAGATGTTATGTGATATTGCATACATCAAACTTACCCGAGATGCTTCGACGTTACGACGTTTGTTTACAAAAACACTCCAGTCAGGGTTTTGATGGGAGTGCTGTCCCTTGATCCCGTTTCCAACAAGCTCCTCACAGCGATTGCCCGTTCGCGGAGCTCTCTATACTATCGCTGCCACCAGTCAAAACTCCCCACTGTGAATAGCTGGCCCCAACCATGCTTGGAGTTGAACTCGCAACCGAATTACCGTTATGTTTACAAACAAATGATGACTGTTGTGACGCCGAAAACACTTACCCCTGCTAAATTACTTTATTTGTTTGTCAATTTGAATATCTATTTCATTAAAACTATCATGTTATTGATATAGTAAGAATGTAAGGGAGAAGTTGGTTGATTTTCCGTTAGTCCGCAATCTCGAACCAATCTGATTATGCAAACAACAAAGTAAATTCATCTGGAAAACATGGTCAGTCACAAACCCTTTCAAAATTTACTATAATGACATTCCCAAAGACATAAACAAAAGTATGAACGTTACTACATTTGGGGTTAGAGGCCAAATTTCAAGACTCTTGTAATGGCCGCGGCCACACTGGTGGCAGCGATGTTACCGAGAGTGTAACGAAGGTGTCAGGCGCTGGGAAGGAGCTTGCGTTTCCAAATAAGGATGGTACAGCATCCGACCGTAGTTGTTTCCGATCAGTCGAACAACTGGCAGACATTGCACGCGAAACATGACAGCAAGTGTCGAAGTGAGCATCACAAACGCGAGATTCACACAACGGACCTTTCCATCCATCCTCGTGAATCTTACAGCACTTTATCCATTGTTGTCTTCTTTTTTGGGAAACGAAAATAACTACTTTTAGAATAATTTTTCTTTGAAATTTGAACAGAGGAACCGAAAAAAATATACCATGTTCAAATCAGTCGGCTGCGTATCTGAGACGCTAGAATCAAACACCTGTACCTACACCTCGTGAAGCGGCTCTAACCCTCTGGGTGCCGATTTTTTTGTCTGACGCACATTTTCCTGAGATCGAAAAAGTGACGGTTGTGCGAGAATTGCGCTCACGCGGCACTGGATGTACCCCTGGCTATAAAATAACGCAGAGGTGGAGAATATTAAATTTCCTATCTGGTGGTGTAAATTTAACTGCAAATATTAAACCGGTTTTAGGAAAAGTCACTGCGAAGTGTTGTCCGAGAATTTATTCTGCTTTGAAAAACAGCAAATTACGCCTCTTTTTATCGTACGCCGATAAAAGTACTGTGCGACGATTTTTTTAATTTAGCAGCTTTACGGAAAGTGTGAGCGAACAAAATACGACCTCATATCTGAACGACATAACCATATATCAAATGGAGTTAAATGCGAATGTATAACTACATACATTCTGTGCAAAAAATAGCCTGCCGTAAATTACGAAAACTGATTTTCTCTATGACGTCAAAACGCGACAGAGTGGTTTCACACGTACAAAGTAAAGGGGGCATAACTCCGCTATGCTTAGCACTAGTTTATTGTAACTCAGGTCACTTGGTGAGAATTAGCTGTGGGTAAGGACAATATATTTTCCTGGTGTTTTGTTCACGAGGAACCAAACTATCCCAACACAAATATCCATATAGAAACTGAAAACATTTAGGTATAAAAAACCCCATGAGAAACGATGAAATCGTACCTCATAAAAGAAGAAGTAATAGCGAAATGGGGTGAGTGAGTGAGTATGGTTTTACGCCGCTTTTAGCAATATTCCAGCAATATCACGGCGGGGGCCACCAGAAATGGGCTTCACACATTGTACCCATGTCGGGAATCGAACCCGGGTCTTCAGCGTGACGAGCGAATGCTTTAACCACTAGGCTACCCGACCGCCCCAATAGCGAAATGGATGGCCCTATCTAACCTATAGATTAGTCCTTAGATTCCAACATTCTCCTGAATGTGCAAGTGTAATTTCACTAATGTTGCACTATTATTAATGGAACACTAGCCTTATCATCAAATGTAATGAATTACTGAAAAAATGACACCATTCTATATGACCTGGAGAAAGACGACACTGGTATTTTGATAAATATATCTCTCTCCTAATTTTCGTTCATGGTATGGAAAAGATGGATGTGTAAAACGGACTTTGACGCCTTGCCGACACAACATAAAATGACTGCTTACACCATTTGAATAATGTCTTGAATATATAAACAATTTACCGTGTGTCCTAATTAGACAAGACACGCACCTGTTTGGCATCAATTTTACGTAATCATGCAAATACTCAAAAGAATATTTCAAAACAAACAAAATTATATTTAACATTGGACATGTTTTTGTTCATTATTATGTCCTTATTTCTCTTCATCTTGTCTCAGAATTATACAATAATAGATGCGAAGAAAGCTCTATTGGTATAGAATTATTAGGATAATCGTATAAGGTTCCACCAACGAGGTACATATAGCAGCACTGTATAGGCAGTATAGCAGCACTGTAGAGGCAGTATAGCATCACTGTGTCTTTTAGACTGATGACATCACTGTAGAGGCAGTATAGCATCACTGTATAAGTAGTATAGAGTCACTGTATAGGCAGTATAGCATCACTGTATAGGTAGTATAGAGTCATTGTATAGGCAGTATAGCATCACTGTATAGGTAGTATAGAGTCACTGTGTAGGCAGTATAGCATCACCGTATAGGCAGAATAGCATCATTGTGTCTTGAGACTGATGACACTGGTGTATAACTATGAGAAGTCCAGACAGTCCATGTAATGGCCATGGTGGAAGCAGTGCTTCGCCTGAACACATGCCTTCCGCTGGGTGTTGATCCCTGTTGGCTCCAGTGTTAAGTGGCTCAAATTCATGCACAACTTGATGTGGCAGAGGTGGCTGACAGTTAGCACACCACTGAATTCCTTCAAGTTGTGCAGAAAATACCACGCCCTGTGTGCTCGTAGCCTCATACGCCTCCTCCCGCTCAGAGTGGTGTTGAGCACTGGGTAGCCGTCGCTGTCTACGGAACCTTCCCAAAGATGGCACTGGCTGTCTGTACCGCTGCTGTCAATCCTGGACTTTAGCCTGTACTTCAATAGATCAATCTCTGCCTCTGTTAGGTGAGTGTCATAGAGCGATGACATCTTGAAAACTTGGTCTACAACAGGAAGAAACAAGGAGTGAGTGACTGACTGAACCTTGTCGAATGCAAGAATTAAAGATTTCCGATTCCCACACAAACAAAGACAACCAGCGGTTGGTAGCATGAACAGGGAAGGATATGTAAAAAAACACATATATTTCTCTAGTTCTCAATCAAGGTATCTTAGAAATTAGTTATCAGCCAGCATTCCTGTGTCAGCAGCTATCAGCCAGTGTACCTGTGTCAGAAGCTACAGACACACTGGCTGATAGCTGCTGACACAGATACACTGGATGATAGCTGCTGACACAGATACACTGGCTGATAGCTACTGACACAGGTACACTGGCTGATAGCTGCTGACACAGATACACTGGCTGATAGCTGCTTACACAGGTACACTGGCTGATAGCTACTGACACAGGTACACTGGCTGATAGCTGCTTACACAGGTACACTGGCTGATAGCTACTGAAACAGATACACTGGCTGATAGCTGCTTACACAGGTACACTGGCTGATAGCTACTGAAACAGGTACACTGGCTGATAGCTACTGACACAGGTACACTGGCTGATAGCTACTGACACAGATACACTGGCTGATAAATACTGACAGATACACTGGCCGATAGCTACTGACACAGATACACCGACTGATAGCTACTGACACAGGTACACTGGCTGATAGCTCCTGACACAGATACACTGGCTGATAGCTACTGACACAGGTACACTGGCTGATAGCTACTGACACAGGTACACTGGCTGATAGCTCCTGACACAGGTACACTGGCTGATAGCTACTGACACAGGTACACTGGCTGATAGATACTGACACATGTACACTGGCTGATAGCTACTGACACAGGTACACTGGCTGATAGCTACTGACACAGGTACACTGGCTGATAGCTCCTGACACAGGTACACTGGCTGATAGCTACTGACACAGGTACACTGGCTGATAGCTACTGACACAGGTACACTGGCTGATAGCTCCTGACACAGATACACTGGCTGATAGATACTGACACAGGTACACTGGCTGATAGCTACTGACACAGGTACACTGGCTGATAGATACTGACACAGGTACACTGGCTGATAGCTCCTGACACAGATACACTGGCTGATAGATACTGACACAGGTACACTGGCTGATAGCTACTGACACAGGTACACTGGCTGATAGCTACTGACACAGGTACACTGGCTGATAGCTCCTGACACAGGTACACTGGCTGATAGCTACTGACACAGGTACACTGGCTGATAGCTGCTGACACAGATACACTGGCTGATAGCTACTGAAACAGGTACACTGGCTGATAAATACTGACAGATACACTGGCCGATAGCTACTGACACAGATACACCGACTGATAGCTACTGACACAGGTACACTGGCTGATAGCTCCTGACACAGATACACTGGCTGATAGCTACTGACACAGGTACACTGGCTGATAGCTACTGACACAGGTACACTGGCTGATAGCTCCTGACACAGGTACACTGGCTGATAGCTGCTGACACAGGTACACTGGCTGATAGCTACTGAAACAGGTACACTGGCTGATAGCTACTGACACAGGTACACTGGCTGATAGCTACTGACACAGATACACTGGCTGATAAATACTGACAGATACACTGGCCGATAGCTACTGACACAGATACACCGACTGATAGCTACTGACACAGGTACACTGGCTGATAGCTGCTGACACAGATACACTGGCTAATAGCTACTGACACAGGTACACTGGCTGATAGCTACTGACACAGGTACACTGGCTGATAGCTCCTGACACAGGTACACTGGCTGATAGCTACTGACACAGGTACACTGGCTGATAGCTACTGACACATGTACACTGGCTGATAGCTACTGACACAGGTACACTGGCTGATAGCTACTGACACAGGTACACTGGCTGATAGCTACTGACACAGGTACACTGGCTGATAGCTCCTGACAC